AGAATGTCTTTCTGCCCTTTCATGCTTGATAAGGAAGACTTATGAAGATGTACGAAAGAAGAGAAGAGGTGGAATACGACAAAATGACTTTGTTTTTCGAAATTGATCGACGCAAAAAAAGACAAATGGGAGCGTAAGACTTTTCATCATGACATATCTTACGTCTGGGATTTGGGCTTTGGGTTTTACGACACTTTACGACCGCTTCTTTGTCTTGTCTGTTCTTTGCTCTTGTCTCCAGTTGTACACACGCACACGGTTCGCGCGTTGGGTCGTCGTCTCTGGTTTCTGGTCATGACGAGGAAGGGAACGGCATAGAAGGCGTTGGTCTGTTTGGTTTCTTCCGTGTTGGTCTTTACTTTTCTGCAAGGCGTCTGGGCTTTCCTGGGATTTCGCTTTTTTCGCAAGGCGTTTAGAGGGGCTACTCTCTTCTGGATTTTCTGGTCGCCTTTCCTTTTTCCTGCATTACTCTTCTTCTACTTCTTCTCGGACAGCGTAGGGATGGCATGGCATGGTGGCATGCTTCTGCTTGCTTGCTTCTCTTGAGCGATGACTGTTGTTGCTGTTGGTCGATTGCTTGGAGCGGTAGACAGACTGAATTTTTCTTCTTCTCTCTTCTCTTCTCCTCTCATGAAGTCTCTTCCTTTTTTCTCGCGTGGGAGCGTTGAGCGTGGCGCTACTCGCTTCATTGTCGTCTCTTCGTCTTGCGATCAAATTGCCCTGCCTTCCGTCATAATAGTCGTTCGAGCGTCTAAGAAATTGTTCCGTGCGAGGAGGGTAAGAGCGTGGACTGTCGTTGAAAGTGCTGCTTCTTTTTCTTTTCTTTACTTGCTTGCGTCTTGAAGCGTAATGTCTTTTTCTCTCGAGTCGGCGCCTAAATTGTCCTATCCGTCTAGCCGTCTTTTCGCCTGTCTAATTTGCTCTTTGGTTTACTGGGTAAAGCAGCGTAACGTAGCGATTCGAAACGGAATCGGAATGAAGAAGTCGTGAAAATCAGTCATTCGCTTTGGCCATTTCGCGGACGTCGTGGGTAAAGTGTGAGGGATATCATGTAGCCGGATCGGATCGGTTCCTCAGACCTCTTATATGACCGGCGGCTTGCTTTGCCGTTGAATGAGTGGGCGGCCAAGGTAATCTGTACCTGCCACTGCTCGTGTGACGCAGGACGGCGAGCACCTCACTCCACGTGCCATGGCGCCATATACAGTAGTGGTACGTAGGTGTCTGGTCTTGGTTCTCCCATATGGACAACGGCCAGCTCGCCAAGCGCACCTCAGTTGTGGCCGCGGACGACTGCTCCCAAGGCGAGGCGGGGCTGTGATGCCGGATGACTGCTCCCTGGGTAAGGTATGTATGTAGGGACGTCTCGCCTCTTCCGGCAGCCTCTGTGGATCATGTCGTCCAACTCTGACTCCCAATGTCGCTGACTTTGCACGTGGTGCCGTGCTTAGTATGTCAGTCCGTCAGTCGCGGGCTGCTGAAGCGCTTGCGCGGTATCTCTAGGTGGATGGGTCGGAGTAGGCAGATGTTGCTGTTTTCGTGGCCATGCATGGTCGTGGTCATGGTGGTGGTGGTGGTCTGGTGGTGGTGGTCTGGTGGTGGTAGGTAGGTACATAGGGCAGCAGGGGTAAGTGGATGTGATGTAATTTGGACACTTGACACATGGACAGGGACATCAAGGTACATACCTACCTACCTACCTACCTACCTACCTTACCTTGTACCATCATAAGTCCCCATACCCATCCATCCATCCATCCATCCATCCATCCATCCATCCATCCATCCATCCATCCATCCATCCATCTGTCCATCCACAGTATCAAAGCAGGTGCCAAAAGACACGCGACGCTGTATCTTGCTGGGAACATCTCATTGCTCTACTACTACTACAGGTGACGACGCCAGGGAGCATTCATTTACCGCCGCAGCCGCGCCTAAGGAGCAGTTGTTCGAAAGGCAGCCAGGCTAGACTCAGGGCGTGTCATTTTTTAACATGCACGGTGCTGTCGCATGGTGGGTAGGTACATGTACCTTGTTGTCTGCACCAATGCATGTACCGGTAGTAACCTACCTGCATTCGTCACATCATGCGGCGTTGTGCCTCTCGCTGCGTAAGCACGCGCATGAGGTTGTGCGTATATATGAACGCGCGTTTGACGCAGAAGGATGTTTGCAATCAACTGCTGTGTATTGCTCACTTGAATGCTGAGAATGAAAGAGATATTCAGGAGATGCCATAACGCTTCGAGGCCGTACATCGTCATGCGCGAGGCCATGTGCAGTGCAGTATAGGCCGAGAATGGGTGGTATGGAATATGTGCAGTACAGTGCAAGAAGCGTCATTTCCACCGTGAAGGAATGATTCCTCCACTCCCCTGCTGACCTATGTACCTTCCCGAGCGAGGTCAGGTTGGCGACAATGACGCCCCCTGAGACTCCAAACGCTCGCCTACCTGCTCACAGCAATCATCCATCCATCATCAAATGCCTTGCCCAGCTCGTCAACGCCGCCCCAAACAATGACGCTCGCGCCCTCGACCTCGGTGCCCCTGGCAGCCGCAAAGCCCATCCGGCTGCCCATGCCCTTGGCGCCGGTTCCCGACAGCGACAGCGGACGCTCCCTGACCACGTCGCCGGCCTCGTTGACGTACTGGTACAGGACCTCGGCCCAGAGGCCCTCGCGCGTCTCGAGCTGCGTCTGGCGGCGCGTGGCGTCCTTGAGGCCAGCGCCGCTGCCCGCAGTCGCCGGCAGCTGGTACACCCACATGTCGTCCCAGTAGGCGGGCGGCTCCTCGAGGCCGCGCAGCTCGCGCTCGGCCGTCGTTACCGCGTCTTGGTCTTTGCCGCCGCCCACCAGCAGCAGGTAGTGTCGCCCGTGGCCCGTCGCGTACTCGATGAGCGATGCGCCAGTCCGGTTGCCGTCTGGCCCCTCGCCTTGCTCGTGCGGCAGTATCTCCCAGTGTGAGTTCTGTGTCCGTGCTGGTGGCCCGCCTGCTTCGGCAAACTTCCACAGCCCGCTCACGTCTAGGGTGCATAGCTCTGATGGCACAACGTTGCCGCCGCCGCTGGTGTCGGGCGTTGCGGCTGGTCCGTTTGATCCTCCTATCAAATAGATCCGTGTTCCAACCATTGCCATTGCGGCGCCGATGCGTGCTGGGCCCGGCGGTGCGGCAAGCGAGGTCCATGTCCGCGTGCGAATGTCAAACGTCCATAGATCGTGAATGGGTGCGCCGCTGGCTACCGGGTTCGTGGTTGCGCCGCATGATATGAAGAGAGTGCCCCAGGAGCCAGGGGCCGGGGGTTCGGGAACGTGGAGCGAAGGGTCGGGCGGCTGCTGGGGGAGATTTGGCTGTTGGCGTGGTGTCGATTCCTTTGGTCTTGGTTCTTCTGTCGCTGTGAATGCGTGGTGAGATCGTGGGGCTGGCGTAGGTAGAGCTGCATTGCTTGGGTGCAGCGCGGTCCAGGTCGACCGGAACGGACTGAAGACCCAGACAACCCCTTCAGCTTCCTGCTCGTAGTCTTCTGACAAGACACCCCCGTAAATGAAAATGTCGTCGCCCACTACCGACGCGCTGTGTCCCTTGCGCGGTGCGGGGACTGGGCCGTCTGCTGCAGCAGGTTTTGCCTTGATCGAATAGTAGTCTGCTTCCTGGACTCCCGAAGAGGGTAAGATGATGACGTGCATATAATTGTCGACAATAAGGCCGTCGGCATCCTCGCCGCCAAAGACGTATGCGCGCCCTTTTATTACGCTGACACTGTGTCCGGTGCGAGGAAGCGGAGCTCCTTGGATTGGAGCAAAGGTTGCCTTGAAGGAGCGTTCGCCCTTGGCCAGCGATAATGCGCCTTGGACGAGATTGCCGGCGGCAGAGAGAAAGTTGGGCATGGCTGTTCCGAGGAGGAGTTGAGGAGTGAGGAATCGAAGCGGAGCGAGGACGGCGATGGAGCGGCGCGGAGGAGCTGTTACATAGGGCTGACAGTCGGGCTAAGGTACATGTAGGTAGGACCGGCTCGGGCCGTGCGTCGAGGCTGCGTCATCCCTGCGGCTGGGACTTGCCCGGAGACTTCCTTCCTGGCGAAGATGCCAAAGAGAAAACTCCTCCATGCCGTGCTGCTTTCACGACGACACATGCTTCACCCTCTCATCATCTTCCTCTCGGTCTCCCGCCTCTCATCAACTTTCGATATTCACGACCTCTTCTTCAAGACCCGTCCGTGCCGTTTCCCTTGGATTCCGGATCGGCACACGCGCCACTGCTTCTGGATTGTCAACTCACAGCGACAGCGCATCCTTCGACGCGATTTTCCTCCTTCTCTCGTCTGCTCAGCACTTGGCACCTCCTTTAAAGCCTCGGCTCTTCGCACAGGCTGTCGAAACATGATCGAGACACTTTGATAGCAGTTTCCGTGGACAGGTAGGTGTTTCCAGGGCTCATCCCGTTTCCTCCAGCAACATCGGATGCTCGAGACTCTTCTCTTGCTTTCAAATCTACGGCCTGGCCACCTTCTATCCAAGCCGCCAAGATCCGTGCGACTTTTGGTCTCCTCTTTCCCCACATTTCTGTCTGCGCCACAGCGTCTTGCACCGCCTCGGAACGTGGTGATGGCATTCTCGTCAACTCCTGCTCACCCCGCTTATCGCACCAGCTTCTCGAGTTGCACTCCTGACCTTTCTTCGACCATCTCTCCTGGTTGGGTGGATTCTTTTACAACTGATGGATTCGCCTGGCTTGAGCTTTCGTTTTTGACTTCTCGTTTTCTGTTGCTCCAAAATTTCGCGTCGTCAGCCACCTATTCTTGGAACAACTTCAAACACGGCGCTACAACATGGCCAATGACCATGAAGATAGCCCTGTCTCATCTTCTCTTGGCCCTTTTCTCTCGCCCCTTGTCGAGCTCTACTTACCTGAAACGGTGTTTGACCGTGAATCTTGAAATTTGGTATATATATCTTGCAAAGGTCATGTAGCTCTTTAGAATTTGAAAACATCCCACCAGCTTCTATGGCTCAGTTGGTAGAGCGCGGCACTAGTATCGACAGATGTCGGTGATGCCGAGGTCCTGAGTTCAAATCTCAGTGGAAGCATTTTTGCCATTTAGCATTCTCGTTTTGTCCGCGGAGATTGTTCGCTTTTTGATGTAATCAACCAGGAATGCAGAAATCCATCGAGTGTCGGCTCAACGCCAACAGTTCTGTTCACTTGCAGATTCGACAACGCTGCCGTTTACAAATCTTCAGCTCTGGTTCTCTCCGACCGCCGTAAGACCGCACTCCAATCCATCTCTCCAACCTCGACCCGTCCCCTCAATCGTTTTGCCTCTTCGAGAACAAGCGCACAAGTTCGCTGGATTCGGAAATTGTACCGCTTGAGCACGGCTTGCTTGCGTCTTGTCCCGACTTCGTCCTCGTGTTGTTTCGTCTTGGGCTTTACAGAAAATACCGCTCGACTACAGCCTTTTCCAACCTTCGTCGTATGATTCGACCTTCGGAGACATGGTGGAGGCGAAATTATAATCCCCACGAGTTTGACGCGGAGAGGAAAAGCCACAATCAGGCCGAGTCGGCAGCTTTCGGAATGTTCCTTGTGGTCTTACAAAATCGTCAACTCCGTATACATCGGCTGCCAAACGACGACAGCCTCGTTCCACACGACATCAGGCGCCCTCGCGTATGCCAAGCATCGCGCCGCTCTGTACTCGGAAAGATTAGGGTGGTTCCCCGCATGCTGTTACCCATGTTTGGCCAGCTGGTGGAAATGGCGTGTTGTACTGTGAAGGATTCGTCCGCATCAGCCACGTAGGCGGGGGACGGTCGTGTCGCCAGAATGAGACCGGGAGTCAGCCAACGCCGTCAGCATGTACAGTGGCCACCGCGAGCAGTTTTCCACATTGTCGACTTCTTTTACATGTCTTGGGACTCTTCTTTGATGTGGATGTCGTCGCACGGTATATGGGACAGCTTTTTGGACAAGCTTCTGCCGCGCGAAGCTTCGACAAAGGCCTCAAAGACTCGTCGGACAACCGCCCGGCTTTCCGAGCCAGATTTTCTTCACACAAGTCGGGCCGTGGACTCTGACCTCGAAACGAGAGCATCCATCATCCGCCCCGCTGCCAAGGTGGTCGGTCTGGCCGATGGCGTGTCCGCTGGAGCTTGGCAAAGTTGGGGGAACTATCGCAGTCTTCGTCGTGGAGAAAAATACCACGGGTCAGACTGCGGTTCTCACGCGGGAATTTTCGAAAGTCGGTTCAAACTACTGCAAGCGGACGAGTACGGTATCGACCGAGCACGCGAGGAAAGCAGACGCGCATTCTCACAAGTCCTTGGAAATGTTTGGCTGGGGTGAGCCTTACGAATCTGGACGTGCATGGGATCAGGCGGAGTGGGTCACTACGCGTGCATAGCAAATCCGGGGAAGCCAAATCCCCGGATCTGGGGTAAACCGCCGAGACCCACAGTTTTTCGACTTCCTATGGTCAGACTCCATCACCCACGGGCTGCCTTTGCCTGTATCACGAGGCTTAATGTCGTACGACCAGCCTGGTGATCGTGACTAATTGGCCCCAACTGGGCCACTGCGACACGGCTCAGGACGGGCAAATATGTTGAACTCCTCTATGGTCGGCGCCATATTTCATGCTGTGTGGTAATGAAATATTCAGGAAAGGCAGGTAATACTGCTGAATCTGAGAAATCACATTGCTTACCCTTCAAAGAGACCCTGGTCAAACCACCTGAACAGCGCGGCTACGACCTTAGTAGAGCAGCCCCTCCTCACTGGCTTATTCGCGCCGCGATACCTCAGATCCACAACTTGGCACTCCTGATAAGTGCACAAGCAAGCCCGGAGCATGACACCTTGGCTTTCTTGGCCTTGTGCGAAAATGGCATGCCGGACGGAGTCCCACCCCAACCATGCTCAGGGCCAGCAACTCCGCGCAACCTCGCTGGGCCTACATACATTGATATGATGCAACGAGCGGGACGTAGTACCTATAAAACGAAAGAGTCTAGCACTTTCTGCGACTCTAGTTGACATTCAAGATCAATTCTTCTCCTCAGTCAAGTCCTCCCCTCAGTTTCGCCGCCGACATGTCACAAAACGAGCCAGCCGAGCCAATAGCCACTGGCGTTTTTGCTGTGGCCAAGCAATCCTTCGGCGACCTCTTCAAGTGGAAGCAAAGAGTTACCATTACCAACGAATACGGCGAGGAGCGCACCGAATGGCAAGCCCCTGAGCCGCTGCCAAACCCCTTCAGCTTGTTCGCCCAGCTCAGCCTTCGCGACTGGGTTTTTTTCATAGTCGGATGGGCTGCTTGGACGGCGGACGCGTTTGATTTTCATGCGCTTTCTATTCAAACGACAAAGCTGGCCGATTATTATGATCAGTCGAAGACCAATATCACGACCGCCATCACGCTCACGCTGTTGTTGCGGTCAGTTGGGGCTGCCTTTTTCGGCCTGGCCGGGGATAAGTTCGGCCGTAAGTGGCCCATGGTTTTCAACATGATTGTGCTGGGTGTGCTTCAGATTGCCACAATCTACAGTACGACGTTCCAGCAGTTCCTTGCAGTGCGCAGTCTGTTTGGTCTGTTCATGGGCGGCGTATACGGCAATGCTGTAGCAATGGCTCTGGAAAACTGCCCGTGAGTTCTAATCCAACAAGCATCGAGTGCCGTGGAGGTCGAATGCTCCCGTTGTGAGACGAAGCTGACTTGTTCCAGTGTCAACGCCCGCGGTATCATGAGTGGAATTGTAAGTCGCGACTGTTCCCGGAGTGATGAGTGATCTCCTAACGAACGTAGATGCAATCAGGATACTCGGCTGGCTACGTCTTCGCTGCATGCGCCAACCTCGGAGTGGGCGGCGAAACCAACACTTGGAAGATTGTCTTCTGGATCGCCGCAGGCCTTTCCATCGGCGTTGGCCTGATTCGCATCGTCTTCCCCGAGTCGAAGCAGTTCCGCGAAGCAAAAGAAGCGCGTAAGGCCGCTGGCGGAAAGAGCGCCCACGCCCCATCGGCCTTCTGGCAAGAGGCCAAGAACATGCTGGCCAAGGAGTGGAAGATGTGCCTGTACTGCATCATTCTGATGACATGGTTCAACTACTACAGCCACACGAGCCAGGACAGCTACACGACCTTCATGCTGACGCAAAAGGAGATGAATAACGCGCAGGCAAGCCGCGCCAGTATTCTCATGAAAGTCGGCGCTTGTGCCGGCGGTACCACGATTGGATACGTATCGCAATGGTTCGGGCGTCGTCGTGCCATCATTGTTTCTGCTCTGCTCAGCGCCTGCCTGATTCCAGCGTGGATCCTGCCGGAGGGCGAGTCGGCGCTTTCTGCGACTGGCTTCTTCATTCAATTCTTCATCCAGGGCGCCTGGGGCGTCATTCCCATCCACCTGAACGAGCTGTCGCCGCCTGCCTTCCGCTCTAGTTTCCCTGGTACGTCCAATGCTCCTTCCTTTCTCTCGCGCTGCACTAACAAGTCCCCCTCAACAGGTATCACGTACCAGCTCGGCAACATGATTTCATCCCCAAGCGCGCAAATCGTCAACGCCATTGCCGAAAAGACATTCGTCACTCTCGACAACGGCGACCGCGTCCCGGCGTACGGCCCCGTCATGGGCGTCGCGACGGCCATCATCGCCCTCGGCATCGCCGTCACGGCGGCGTTTGGCCCCGAGAAGCGCGGCAGGAAATTTGAGGAGGCCAAGGTGGCTGGCGCTGCCGTTGAGCCCGTCAAGGATGTCGAGGAGGGCTTCTACGACAACGAGAAGCCTGTGGAGCAGAGGATTGAGAGGGTTGAAAACAAGGCTTGAGGTGAATGGTTCTACTAGACGGGCACAGCGTTGGACGAATTGGGGGAATCTTGAGGATTGACTGACTGAGCGATGGATACCGGGTTCAGGGGTCGTAGATTTGGTAAAGGTATAAGACATGGCTTTCACGAAGGTCCTGAAGATGGGACATGGGATATCACGATCATGAATCAAATACCCTCTTTTTTTGATACCTGCCTTGACATAGACGCTACGGTGGCTGTCGTTGTGCAAACATGCAATAACCCCTTGGTCTAGTTGCACTGGTAGACGAATGCTCCCAAGGCGCGAGTATAGCAGTGGGGGAATGCTCCTGAGCCGTTAATCTGTCAGCGGGCAATGTCTGCCTGGATGTAGGAGTGTTATGATGAATGACAGCTCCTTAGACGTGACTATGACCGCGGACGAGTGCTCCTTAGACGCGGCTCCAGCGGTGGACGTCTGCTCCTTAGGTGTGGCCACAGTAGCAGAAGATTGCTCCCTCAGGCGTGTCTGCAACCGCGGACGACTGCTCCGTAGGTGTGGCCATAGTAGCAGAAAATTACACCCTAAGGCGTGTCTGCAACCGCGGACGACTGCTCCTTAGACGCGGCTGTGACCGCGGACGACCGCTCCCTTGGTAGGGGATGTCTTATTTCTTTCTGCACCCACTATGCCAGGGCTAACAGAGAAGAGACATTTACCTAGATAGCTAGATGTAGGCAACCAAGGGACTGCACACAACAAGAGGGAGACAGTGAATCAGAGCCGCGCGTGCCTACTTACATGTCCAGTCAGTCTAGACCATTGTCTGTTGATCCCAAAGGGATCTGCGTTTAAATGTGACTGTAATGATTGCACTGTAGCATTGCGGAATGAAAGGCGATGCAATTCAATCTGTACAGGGCCTAATACTTCTACAATGCAATCTATGTAATAGACCATATTACATTGCATTGCATTGAACATTTAAAGTCTTGTTTTTGTACCCGTTTTGGTCGCGTTTTTGTTTAAACTTTTGAATGGTTTTCAGGCGCGCACGTGCTGCGTCCTTAGTCCTAAGGGGTTTTGTACTATCTATAAAAGCAATGTGAAAAAAAAAATGTAAGTCTCTAATTACGCAATGTGATTAGCCACTGCTCATTGCTGTGTGCAATCTATGCAACTAGGGACTTACATTGCATTGCATTGCATTGCATTGCATTGCAGACCACCCTGCTTGACCCACTTACAACATAAGTATGGATAAAGATGGTCACTTTTGGAGTTGCGACTCCTGCGCAA